TGCTACACCTTCCTTTAGCAGCTCTTCTAAAGTTGTTTGCCACCACTGCAAGGGCATGGGACATATTGCTAAAGAATGCCCCAGCAAATGCGCATATATTGCTACTGATGATGGTGGGTATGCTAGTGCTAGTGATGAAGAGAATTAATTTGCACTTGTAACTGATCTTTATGCAGATAAATTTGGGGATAGTGCTGAAGATCCTGATGAGGTAATTGATAGTGTGGCATGCACTGCAAACTTCAAATCAATCCTTGTTCAGCGTGTTTTGAGTACACAAGTTGAGCCAGTAGACAAGCTACAACGCCATAATCTGTTTCAAATGTTCCTCATTGTCAATAATTTCCGTGTTCGTGCTATAATTGATGAAGGGAGCAGCAATAACTTGATAAGTTCTGAGCTTGTCAAGACCCTTGGTTTATCTATACGTGCTCTTCCACATTCATACCATGTTCAGTGGTTCAACAATAGTGGTAAGGCAAAGGTAACACAATCTGCTTGTGTGCATTTTTCTATCGGATCATACCATGATTATGCTGATTTTGGTGTCGTGCCCATGCAAGCTTGTTCACTTTTGTTAGGCCACCCTTGGCAATATGATAATAATGTTGTACATCATGGTAGGCAAAATAGATATACTTTTATGTTTAAAGGAAAGACCATTGCTTTACTTCCTTTAACTCCTGCTGAAATTATGCAATATGAAAAGGAACTTGCTGAAAAGAAACAGAAAGGCCATGATAAAGACTCTAGCAAACCAGCAAATAAACCATCAAGTAACATGAAAGAAGTTTTATTTGCTCTTAAATCTGCTCTTATTGATCATGATGAACCATGTTATGCTTTAACTTGTACATCGCCTATATGTCCACTTGGTCCTGCTTCTAGTGCTATGCCTCTTGTTGGTACTAACCTTTTGTAGGAGAAGGAGGATGAATTCCCAGCAGGGAGGCCACCATGGCAGCCGCCTTTGCGAAGGATTGGGCACCAAGATGGACGTCTTCTTCTAGAGCCATCATTGGTGTCATCCAATGGAGGAGACGATCTACTTCAGTCGAGGACGACTTCAATTCAAGAAAGGGAGGATGATGAGGACAACACTACTTCATCTCATACAAGCCAAGGAGAGGAGGAGGTCCATCATGGGTGTCCAATTCATCTTTCTCATGGTGGAGGCCCAGTCCAACTGAAATTGGAGCCCATCTCGGGTTCTAGGACCAGTCTATCATAAAACTGGTCACACGGGCGCGTCCGGGCTCCATTTTTGACGATCCACATATGGATGGAAAGCTAATTAGATAAGGAAGCCAATGCAAGTGGTCTCACGTCAAAAGCCCTTCAGAATCAATGGAAATCGTCGAAACAAGTCAGCATCCAGAATCTGCCAGGGTGTTACGACACCGTCCTTTGGTTCGTTGGACCGTGTATCGTGTTTGGGCCCATTAGGGGTGTGTCCAGGTGGGGTGATGCCCAAGACTCTATAATTAGCAGCCGTCGCTCTCCTTAGGGTTTGAGTTTTATTTAGTTCTTGATTTCCTCGTGAAACATGTGTCGTTTTGCTGCAAATGTGCCGCCAAGGCCGCTTGCTGTGAACCAAGGCCCTAGTTCTTGATTTTGTTCACCTGTGGCGATTAGTCCTTTCGAATAAAGACTTGAACTTCTTCTCGTTATCATAAGCCTCATATTTATTTGCAATTTTAGATTGCGTTCATCCCGTTCTTGCTTGTGTTCTCGATTCGCTTGCAGGAAAGCCTTCTCGGCGTGGTCAATCACGTTCGCGTGGTTGATAACCAACGGAGCAGTGGTGTAACGGTTGTGGGGGTCCGAATCAGTCTTGGTTCGAAGCCTAGATCGTGAACGTTGAGTCTCCATCAATCGACGCTATCATACCTTTCAGAAGATCGGGCCTTGTCTCTATCACTACGCCAGAACATGCAATAACCACCGGAGCATCACTGCAGCTTGTGCTAGAGACGACAATGATTACTTATCACTGTCAGGTCGTAAGCCTAGGAGCTAGAAAATTGGCGGGAAGCTTTCACCCGGTAGTGATGGCACCTATCACTGTCGGTTCAAATCACCACCCGGCAATGATATATCACTGTCAGTTCAAGCTACAAGCCCGAGTGATATATAGCTACGGTATCAGTACAGGTTCATGCTATGACATGACAGTGATATATCCCTGTCGAGTCGATCCACTACTTGGCAGTGACATTTTCATATGAATGTTGGTTTTCGTACTAACATGTCCGTATTCTCTTTGCATGTTGGATCCATCCTATCTATCAATTAATTGATTCTCCCCGTTGATCCAACCTACCACCATTGCTTCCGGTTATAAAACATGCATCCGGATGCCTTCACGGACAAAGGAGATAGCTTAATTAGGTCCCCTACATGTGTGTGTCGACCATTTGTGTATATTCTCAATATGTGTTCCCAACATGTGTATAGATCTAGCTTTGGTCCGCTGCGTGTGTATAGTGTTAATGTGTTCTCAGTTGGGACATAGGTCTCCACATACACCTTCCGGTCTGTAGTCAAGATGATGCATCAGAGGTACTAGAAAAATGTTTATGAAGATACATAGAGCCAGGTACTAGAAAAATGTTTTTGAAGATAGAGCCATGCCGAAGCCAGGGCAACCTCGTAGCAATATAATGCTATTTGGTCCCCCAGTTGGTTGTTGGTTTACGTCGAACCAGCAGCGACCAGTTGCTAGAGGCATGGGTTCATCACGGCTCCAAACCCTTATGCACTCTGGTTGACTCTCTTCCCCCATCCGGCATACTCTTGCACCTCTGAGATCCAACTCGGGTGCTACAAGAATGTTTGTAAGGTGGTTACATTGTAATTGCCCTGTTCGCTTCGCTGATAAGTCATGGCTGAAAGTACCGTTGGCTGATTTGTTGTGAGAGAAAAATACTGTTCGTTGGTTGACTGAAAAAGTACGGCCTATAAGCCAAGCGAACAGGGCAAATGTGTTTGCAGACTTCGGTTGTAACATTTACCTAGTTGGTAAAATGTTGTATGTTTCTAGTCTTTGTACTGTGTTTGTAGATTTTGAATGATTCACAATTTTTTATAGTTTGAACTAATTTCTATGTGTCTAGCGTCACTGCCAATTTACAAATAGAACCAGCGGTGATATTATCCCCAAATCTTTCATAATTTTAGAATTATTTTTCATGATTACAGCTACAAACTTGGATATATAAATAGAACCAGCGGCGATATTATCCCTAGATATCATTATTGGTTCAAAAAATCACCCGCTAATGATCTAGCAGTATCATTGTCAGTTGAATCTTTGACCCAACAGTGTTACTAGAGCATCACTATTCACCGTTGGGTGATGTTTTGATTCAACAGAGCATCACTGCCAGGTGAAGCTTTGAACTGATAGTGATGTCCTTTCCCTATATATTGAAAACTAGATAAATGCTCGTGCGTTGCAATGAAAAGAAATAATACCTAGATAATTTGAGTATCCATTTGTGTTTTACCGTTACGCCAAAATGACACTCTGAGCATGCTGTATGAAGCATCAATATTATATAGGTCTTCACGAAGGATTGAAAATTAAAATACAACTCAAATTTTTTACGTGAAACTGAAACAATCAAATTTATACTGTAAGAATCTAGTTCATTACGAATATTTAGTTATTCTATCTATCACCTTTTGTTTGCGACATGCCTATGCAGGAGACAACACTATGAAAACAAAGAAAACAAGTAGTTTTTATTGACTTCGTGCTACATCTAGTTGATATTTATCCTACGTCAGCTAATATTAATAGCCAACAAAACAAAACAAAAAATACATACGGGGAGATGAATGGGTATTACAAATTGAATTTTGTGCATGGCTGAAACTAAGAGGAGCAATTTTATCCTAAAGTGTTCTCTGACAAACCTGAATGCCACAACTTCTTAATAACATATGTGTGTTGTACAATTATAAAAAGTAAGTATTTGAGCATGATATTAGCAACATTCTGTTTGTAGTCAATTATCACTCTTCATGAAGCTCAAACAGTTGAAATAATGTTCTATTGTCCATATAAGGCCATCGTGGATCGTAGTGGTTTTCAAATACTCTTCGTGCATATAGAAAGCTAAACAATAATAATTTTTTTTCATATGACCTCCACTTTCACTAAAAAGGACTCACGTTGGTTGATTATAGAAAATACAGTACATGAGTAAATGTAAACCTCCTTTGAGAGGCATTTCCTCAAACACATGTACTACACATGTACACCAAGATACACAAATATGATTAGGGCTTAGGGGGCATCACCTCTCGTAGATGGTGGCGATGACTCTGGTGTTGCACGTAGCAAAGCCAAGCACCGTTACACAAGAGTTAAAAAGGCATTTCTATCCTCTGCAAAATGGAGAAAATATATTCGCATATTGGAAGTGTTACACTAGTACAAGAAGTGGAATACATGTCGTGTCTAGTCTCATTGAAATAGCAAGTTCTCAATTTACACACATAAGTTTTTTTAGTGGTATTTACACACATATGTTACTGAACTGAACTTGGGCTTCTCTGCATATGTATCGTGGGCTGCTGCATCATACCATGTCTTTCATGTGAGCCTGAACGATCGAACAACCTGCAAAAGGGTATGGCAGGAGAAGAACAGAAACCATAAAAACCAGTATCAGAAAAGAACATGGGTTAGAGCATAATCGATACAGGATCATCTCACCTTCTCTATGTGAGCCTGTACTTTTTTGAACCATCGTCGTGGATGTACTGCAATGAGAGCATTCGAGCTATTAATCCAGCTGAGGAACGGGTGCCGAATCCCATATGTGAAATGTGATATGATGTCAAAGTGACCGCCCTAACCGCCCTCTCCAGTTCCGCCCCCAAATTAATCCCACTTCCAGCTCCATTGTTGATTTCTCAAGCTTCGCCTCTCCCATCTTACCCAATGTGATCACTGACCACCAATACCCTAGTCACGCGTCGGCGTCGCCATGACCACGCGCCCCTCCGTGCTCACGCTCCTCCTCCTACTCGCCGTCCAGCTCCCTCCCGCCGCCGCCGCCAAGCACCGCCACGCGTCCGAATCCGCCCCAGCACCACCCGCCTCCTACCTCCTCGTATCGTGGGCAAGCAACCTCACGCTCCTGGGCTCCGCCTCCCTCCACCCGGGCGCCACAGCCGTCTCGCTCACCACCCCGTCCCGTGACGGCGTCGGTGCCGGGCGCGCCCTCTTCTCGGAGCCCGTCCGCCTCTTCGTCCCCTCCTCCTCCGCAGCCGCCTCCTTCTCTACCCGCTTCACCTTCCGCATCACGCCCGCGCCCACCTACGGTGACGGCCTCGCCTTCCTCCTAACCTCTTCCCGGACTTTCCTCGGCGCCTCCAACGGGTTCCTCGGCCTCTTCCCCTCCTCCTCCGCCTCGGACGAGGGCGAGGCCGACCTCCGCGGCGTCATCACCGTAGCCGTCGAGTTCGACACCCACCGCGACGTGGCGCTGCGTGACCCGGACGGCAACCACGTCGCGCTCGACGCGGGTTCCATCTTCTCCGTCGCGTCCGCGAGCCCCGGCGTCGACCTCAGGGCAGGCGTACCCATCACCGCCTGGGTGGAGTACCGCGCCCCACGCCGCCGCCTCAGCGTGTGGCTCTCGTACTCGTCGTTCCGCCGCCCAGAGAAGCCCGCGCTCTCTGCTGATGCCGACCTCTCCGGACTCCTGCGCACATACATGTACGCCGGCTTCTCGGCGTCCAATGGCAATGGCGCGGCGCTTCATGTCATTGAACGCTGGACTTTCCGCACCTTCGGCTTTGCCAACTCATCCCGCGCGTCGCCACCATCTGAGCCCCCAGCACAGCCCAACAAGGCACTGCTGCCGCCCAACAAACCACTGCTGCTTACAGGAAGCCACCAGCACCACCACCTAATCTACAAGGTGCTCGGTGGAGTCCTTGGAGGCATGGTCTTGCTTGTATTTGCCATCATCGCCTCTGTTGTCTGGCTTTCCAGGCCAGCTCGTCGCCCAACTGAAGAGCGTACAGTGCCGCCGAGCGAGGACAAGCCTTATGGGACGATGTCTATGGAGGTGGTACGGGCAGCAACAAAGAGCTTCGACAGTGGCAATGTGATTGGCATCGGTGGCTCTGGTGCCACTGTGTATGAGGGAGTGCTCCCATCCGGTTCAAGAGTTGCTGTCAAACGGTTCCAGGCTATATGGCCGTGCACGAAATCATTTGTAAGTGAGCTTGCGGCCATGCTCAATTGCCCAAATCATCCCAATCTTGTGCGGCTTGCTGGGTGGTGCTGCAGTAAGGATGAGCTCGTGCTTGTTTATGAGTTCATGCCCAATGGGAATCTTGACTGTGCGCTGCACACAATGGGTGGAGCAACACTTCCGTGGGACGCACGGTTCAGGGCAGTGCTTGGTATCGCCTCAGCGCTTGAATATCTACATGATGGGTGTGATCGCCGGATTCTACATCGTGATGTCAAGTCATCTAATGTGCTACTCGATGGTGAGTTCAATGCCAGACTAGGTGATTTTGGACTTGCTCGTCTGGTGAGCCATGGTGGATTACCGCTGACAACACAGCCAGCAGGCACACTTGGCTACCTTGCTCCAGAGTATGTGCATTCAGGTGTTGCAACAGAGCGGTCCGATGTGTACAGTTTTGGTGTGCTTGCTCTGGAGGTGGCCACTGGCCGGAGGCCAACAGAGAGGGGAATCTCTGTTGTTGACTGGGTGTGGGTTCTATGGGATCGTCGGAGGCTAGTTGATGCTGCAGACCAGCGGCTTCAGGGCCGATTTGTTGCGGAGGAGATGCGACGGATTCTGCTTGTGGGTCTCTCTTGTGTGCATCCGGACTGTAGGAAGCGACCTGGTATGCGAAGGGTAGTCAAGATGCTTGATGGGACTGCACCCTTGACAATGGTGCCAGATAAGAAGCCACCTGTTATGCTCCAGACACAAGTAAATCAAGGTTCATCAATGAACTCAGTGGATACTGTCAATACAGCGTTCTACAGTTGTCGCTGAACTTATATGTTAATAGGTTGGCTAATAACCACATCCTGATTCATATGTGGTTGTGTTGATGCTCCAACTTTCATTTCTGAAACATGAGTAGAAGCTAATGTTGGGGTTGTTCCACATTGTTGGAACATATCCTACTTGTGCACAGAATGCTGCATAACGTATTGTTTTCTGGTACAAAATGCATTGAGGTGTTTTCTAATAACTTGATTGAAGATTCATATGCCACTTACTTGAACCATTGCTTCAGTTACTCATATATGCCTGATGATCTTCTTGATTTTGCCTGACAAATGATGGGCATCTATTGGGGGGTATTTGGACATTGGTGTCACTGTGAATAATCACAACGGAGCAGTAGCTCTGATGTTCATATAGATGCAACTGAACTGTCTTCCTATGTAGTTCTGAACATGTTGTATTTGGCGCATGATTTTCTTCACTGAATTTTCATCTGAAATATACTTGATTGGTCCCTTCATACATCATTACTTCCTCCATTATTGCATAACATGGCATCTAGAGTGACTGTTGAGCACTACAGTGCTTATGTGCTGCTCCTTCTCTTCCAGCGTCTGGTGGGAAATCTACTCAACGCTGGGAATTCATCTCCCAAGCCCGGAGGAGGCACTAGGCCTGATGGATTGGTGGGAATGGTCCAGGGATTCCCTACCTGCTCACAAACGAAAGGGCTTTGACAGTCTCTTCACGCTTCACCTGGCATATTGGAATGAAAAGCGAGTCTTCTGGAGTGGATGGTCACAGCTCAGTAAGGACTCGCCATCAGGCAAGATGCCAGGCTCTGGGTACAGGCAGGCGCAAGGGATCTTGATTGTCTCTTTTTTTTACCCTCTCTGAGTGTTTAGACTAATCCATTCGTTTCGGTCGTTTCCCTCATGAAAGAGTAACCTTCGAGTGTGTCCTCATGTGCCAGACAATGGAAAATCAGAATGCATTGTTAGAGCAACTCCACCAGATACCCTTTCACCCTTTACTTAAAAGACAAAATAGGAGATTGAGAAAACTCAATTTCAGGTTATAGGGGAGAGCTTATACCCTTATACAGCACATTGACAAAAATTTCGTTGAGCCAGCTCGGTGGCTCAAGTAAAAAATGCTCCGGTTGAACTCGTTTTTCTTTTAATATAAAAATAAGTAGATTTTGCGTGACTTTCGACTTTGGCTCGGCTCGTTAGGCTCGGCTTGAAGTTCGGTCTCAGAATTTCGGAGACCATGATAAATAAGATTATGTCAATTTTGAAAAAAGCTTACGGGACTCACCTGTAGGTGACATCGCCTTTCTTCTTCTCTCCTCTTTTTCCTCTCTCGTTGTGCTCTCTCTCTCCTCTCTTCTCTCGTGGCACTCTCTCTCCTCGCTCTTCTCTCTTGTGGTCAGCAGACGGCGGTGCAACAGCAGCAGGCGGCGGCGGCCCAGCCAGTGTCCCACGTGCTCGCCTACCCAGCGTGGTTATCAGACGTCCAATTGGGACCCCCACATCGGGCCTAGCAGGCCGGCGGGAGCCCAGGACCCGACCCTGGCCAACGCCGGGGGCGCCATGCGCGCGTCAGGGTGCGTGCGCCCAGGGAGGGCAGGCCACCACCGCCTCCATATTAATACCGAATTCTAGATAGATTAGGAATAAAGAAAGATTTGGAATAAAAATAGGAAAAATAAGTAGAGATTTGTTTAGGAAAGGAGTTGATAATTTTTAGGAAGTAGGAGAGTTTTACTTTAGGAAAGGAAATTCAAATATATAAGGACTCCTTTTATAGTTTTCTTGGTGTGCAAGTCCTATAGGGACTATAAATATATAGACATTGTAACTATTTCAATTCAACAAAGGAATAGAGCATTGCTCTTTAAACAAATCTCTCTCTCTTCCTCTTCTACACCGCCGCCCTTCTCCTTGCGTTCACGCCGCCGTCCTCTACCCCAGCCCACGCCGCCGCCCTCGTCTCCAGCAACCCGGCGAAGCAGCGCCGCTGCTGCCGCCTAGCAGCCGCCCACGGTCCTGCCCTAACCACCCGCCAACCGGACCCCGAGCAAGACTGTGACAGTGGCGGCGACGTGACCAGCGGCTCATGCGTATGGTGGTAGCAGGTCCACCCGTGGGCCGGTGACATCAGAGACTGGAGGAGAAAGAAAAAGGGATTGAGAAAAAATGGTGGTAGATCCTCTCCATTTGAGGGATTGAGAAAAAAATATAGGAAAAAGGGACTGAGAAAGGGGATCTGCTGCAGCACGTTTTTAGCTTGGATCCCCCCCCCCCCTTTTTTTCTCAATATATGGAAAGGGGATTGCTTTCTTAGACTTTTATTCCTTCTTTAGTACAAAGATACAAGGAAAAAGAACCGTCGAACACTGGATGGTCACTTGAATATAATTTAGTTCTGTTCATGCATGAGAAATTATTTGATAGTATTTCGTGTTGGGTATAATGTAGATATTAAACAGTATGCATATCAGGGTTGTTATGGTAATATTGAGTGCTTAGAGGGATATTATTACCTGCATACTACATGTCCTAACTAAGCTCCTATTTGAAGTTGCATAGGCAGTTTGGAGTTTTTGAATATCAAGGTTTTGCTTGTATTATTAAGTTCAATCAGAATAGAATTCCTTGTAGTCGCTAAATATGTTTTTGCATACGGAAAGATCAACTCCCTATACATTCAGCCGTTGTACAGTAAGTATATTGAGGTGAACTATATTGCCATTGTAAATGGATTTAAGATCAAACTTGATGATGTCCCAACACTGTCTGAAGAAGATCCCATTGAGCCCATCGGAGCGGGGTGCTTTGTCTCTGGGAATTGAGTCAATTGTAGCTTTTATCTTCTCTTGGCAGAAAGGGGCTGAAAGGTCCTTATGTGGTTTTGGTAATTGAGTGACAACCTAGGTGGATTAATTGTGTTTATGTGAGATACACATGTGATTAGTCCACAGGTACATGTGTGTGAGCAACATATGCTATGAAGGTGAAAATGGCTCGGAGATGTTACAAAGCTCACACATGTGACGATGAAGGAGCTCATTGCACATGAGACATGACATTGAGTCATGTGATCAAGGTGGAGAAGATCAAGACATGACTTGGCTTGATGGACCAGTTGCAAGCGTGAAGGGCAAGTTGAAGGCTTTGGAGCGATAGACCGCGTGGCAGTGAAGCTTGAGCAAGACGTGGCGCCGATGGACGAAGGCAACAGTGAAAAGCAAATAAAGTCAAGATCGATGAATCAATATGATCACGTGATGATATGAAGTGGATCATATCATTGTTGATCGTGTTAGTGCATGTGTTGCATCGACATCGGAGGAGATGGAATGAAATGCGCAAGGCAAAGGTATAACCTAGGGCATTTTATTCCACCGGTCATAGGTGTGTAGAGAAGTTGATGACCGGGTTTAGGATAGATGCCGTACTATCAAGAGGGGCAAACTTGTTTGCATATCGGTCATCTAGTGCCACTCGAGTGATCTAACTTTGTATCGTCGCTAGGATCGAGTGGCGTGGCAAGTTGAATGAATAATCCTTTGGAAAATATTTGTGAAAAGCTAACACACATACACATGGTGGTGTACACTTGGAGGTGTTGGCACATTTGCAAAGGAGAAGAAGTTGGAGTTGATGAGGATCACACCCTAGGTGTAAGGTTTGCATAACTACACTTGCATTGCATGAGCATAAGCATCATTCATTCATGCGTAAGCATTTTCATATGAAACGTGCAATTGAAACATGTGAAACATGACTTGTATTTTATGTTTTTCTTATATGTATGCTTATGATCATGTGTGTTGACTGCAAGTGGGTGATGTTGGTAACTAAAATACCTTAGCTACACTTAGGATGCCTAATGGAACAATGTTTGTGTAGAACATTTCACCTAATCAAGCCCCTAAGTCTTGATGTGTTTAGTTTGACCTAGGGAACCAATTTGTTTGACCTTTTATGAACTGCAAGTTAGAAGCTTTGCATGGCTGAGCAACCTAAAGCAAAGTTGTAGAAAATTATATATGGAACAAACTTTGTTTAGAGGCCAAGTCATGAAAATGTGTGGAACAGTCCCAAACATGCCCCACAAGTCAGATTTGGGTGATGATTCAGCACTTAGAAAATTTTCTAAGTCATAGCTGCATTTATAGTTTGACGTAGATGACTTTGGTTTGATGTAACTCGTGATCCTTTGAGAATTAGCTGATACTTTCTAAAGCAATGTTGTAGCCCTATCATAGCTCTACAACTTTGCTTCAAGAAGATTTTGCTAACTTGCCACCGATTTGGAGTTTGGAGGGGATGAAAACATGCCGTCAGTCGGTTGATGGCAGGCCTGATGGCCATCTCCGTCAGGCCATCGTGGCCGACCAACGCTGGCCGCCCGCGACAGGTGGAGGCCGTACGCCAGCGCTGCCCCCACTCGTCAGGCCATCGTGGACACGACGATGCCACGCACCCACGGCTTCATCTCCTGCCTTCACCTACGCCCATTCACTTCGCCCGAGCGCACAGAAACACAGCGCTGCACCACTGCCATTGCTGCCGAGCGCGCCGCCGTCACATAGCTCCTCCGCCGTCCTGCCGCCGTGCAATTGCTTGCACCCATAGACGCGCCTGGCTCTGCTCTACTTCCTTGGCCCCTTCATAGTCTCATTCGAGCCAAGGTGAGGGCCCATTGGCCAATCCTGTTGCCGCCGCCATCAGTGGCGCCTCGCCGGAGCGCGAGCTCGCCGTGGCCCGAGCTCACCACCGCTCCTCCATGCCCCCTTTCCTCCACATTATCTTCCCCGTGCCTCGTAGATGCTCTAACCCTACCTCACCTAACCGCTATCGCTCGGACATCACCGGCATGTGAGCCTCGCCGGAGTGAGCTCTGCCGCCGCGCGGACCTTTCCGTGGCCAGGTGTTCCGAGAGCATCTCCTAACCCTAGATTAGCATTGGTAGTATTGCCTTAGCACCGTGGAGCTGTTGTGCCCCTTGCCTAGACCAGCCATGGTAGGAGATGGCCGGTGCACCATCGTGCCGCGCCGCCGTGCCGCCATGGCCAGCGACGAGCCACCTCCAATGCACCTCCATGCTAACCACCTATATGAATCGATGCGGGAGAGAGAGAGGAGAACACCATGGTGGGGTCGGTTTCGCCGGAGGGTTCACTGTCGGCGAGCTACCATCGGTCGACTGCCGTCCCCTGCTCTGGTTAGACGGACCTGTGGGGTCCACTAACCTATGGGTCCCGCGTGTCAGTGACTGCAGTACTTGATTTTGTGTATTTCTTTCCTAATTTGTATGCTATCTTTGGAAAATGATATCTAGGGTTTGAAATGTCCAATTGAGGTCACCCAAATTTTGTTGGAATGCTTATGAAGTGTAGAGTGTGGTAAAATTATAAAGTGGACATGCTCTGTGAATTTAATTTGAGAATTAAATAAATCTACAAAGGTGCTCTTTATATGTGTAGAAACTTGTGAATTTCATAGCTAGAATTCTAGTGCTCCATTAATTGTGAAATTTTTATAGTGGACTGTTCTTGATATTCTTAAGCTATGATAAAAATGTTAAGTCCAGTGCATGCTCAATAATTTAGTTACAGATTTCTTTAGAAGCAGCCCTATATCCTTGTGCTATTTTTCATGGTAAAAATATGGATCCTTTGAGCATGAAACTTTTTGTGCAATGTTCTTGTGTTATGATGAAGCTAAGAAAAATAGGAATTCTGTTGTTTGACACTTTTCAATAGGGTTTCCTATTTATGCTATTTTAAGCCCTGCTGGCTTGTCATTTTTGTGTAGGATGTTATATTTGTTCAAATGATGTAAAATTTATACAGTAGTC